TCTACCACAGAAGAAGCCAAGAGCTTTTAAACTAATTCTTTTGGTATCCAAAAGTTTAACTGAATAGCTTAATTGCCTCTTTTGAAGAATTTAAAGTAGCTATGGCCTTGAGTTCATTACTGGGTTACTTTATGTTGGGAAATTTTTGGCAGATGGCATACAGTCATCATTCAAACACTACTTATATTGTCTTTCCCAGTTTGAGTTAGGAGAACATTAGCATTGACATTTTCATTTTGAATTAGCATGCAGGAAATTATTCCCTCCTAAATGTTTGCCATCAGATGAAGTTTCATTTTTAAAAATTAATGGAGCATGTCAGTATAGCAGCTCCAGGAAAATAGCTGAAGCCCAGAGTTACTTTTGGACAATTTTTTAAAGTCCTTTTTACCACTTAAGTATTCACATGGAAAACTAAAGTATGATAATTTAGCTGCTAATAGATCACTATCACTGAGTTGAATTTGCTTTAGAATATACTTACTTTTGCATACTATTTTGTATACTTTAGCACACTATTTTGGGTTGGAACCAGGGATTGAGCAAGCAAATGAATTGATAATATGAAACACCACATTCATTATTAAAATGTATTTCAGACAATTTTATACTTTTGTTAGTAAATGAGCAATAACACTAATTTGAAATACTTGCAATAAGTATATGTTCTCCATCGAATAAACTGTATCTCAAACTCACTTAAAAAAAATCCACATCCCCTTTCAGAACTATTTAATATTATTATCAAATATGGGAGCCAGGAGAATACTTAAATAACAGTGTCATTATGCTTGTGAAAGATGAATCTTTATCTCTTTGTAAATTGTTAATTTGTTCTTATCCACCTGATTTTGGGGGTGGGGGGGGGGGAATAGGCAATGTGTTGTGGTGTTCAGTAACAGGCAATTTATACTTGACTCATTTTTCCAATAAAACCTCCATATTCTTGTTTTATCTGAAATTCCTTTTTCAGTACTGTTCATCAGTCCTATTCCCTCCTGTTAACACATGTTCATTAAATTTAGTTCCATATTTAGTAAGCAAGGTGATTTTAAATGTTGTAGGAAAGAAAAACATGAGCAAAGTAGGCCTCTGCACCTAAAAAGCGTATTTTAGTCACTTAGGTGAACATGCATATTACAGATCCTGTGTTAATAAGATATTTTGGGTTATCATGGCAGAAAGTAATTTTAAAGTAGCTAAAGCAAAGAGTTATTGCCTCACATAAATGAAAAGACTGGCCTTGAACATGGGTTAGATCCATATATAATACTTACTGTAATATCCAGAATCTGCCTCATTTATCTTTGCTCTCTTCTGGCTTGGATACACATTCTCAGATAGCATCTCCTCAAGTGGAGGCAAAGATAGTGACAGCTTACACCCTTTCAGCTTAGCAACCTCAATGATGAGCTTCCTGTACAGAGTTTCAGAAGTCCTGGGTTTAACTCTGATTGGCTAGTCTTGGATCCTCTGGGGGGGGGTGTAAGTATGGTCCAGCCCTATTCAAACTAGATGGAATAAAAAGGAGATAAGTAGTTTCCAAAAAGGACATTATAGATACCACTACCAGAAGAAAGGATGCCAAGCAGGATGCTATTATCTCTCCATTAATCAATTCATCTTACAAAATAAAGATTTGAGTTACTAGTAAAAAGATGAATTCTGCATTAAGAAAAGCTTCAGGCAAAAAGCTATATTTGAATTGGGCCCTAAAGGACAAGTAGATTTTTTTCTAAGACAGAATGAGTAAAGAAAGGACTCATTTGAGAAGTTGGGCCTTGAAAGGAGAAAATGGAAATGGAAGCTACTGGAGTCTAAAAGAGAATGTTGAGAAAATTTCCCCTCAGTAGGGAGAAAATTTGAACACTTTCATGGCAGAGGAGCAGAAAAGCAAGTAAAGGAGAAATTAATAATGCAAAGGAAGCAATCATAAAGAAGTAGGGTAATTTAGTGGGATTAAGGATATAAGCAAAGGGAGCAGCCTTAGAAAGGAAAAGGGAACTGTTCATTCTCTGAATTGTAAAGGGAAGGTAGTGATGGTAGCTGTCCTGGTTAAAACAGGAATTTATTGTTAAATAGGTAAGTAACTTTAGTTTTGTGTTCTAAAAGTAAAAATAAAAGGTTTATCAGTTTTTATTGCTGTGTAGCAAACCATTGCAAAATGATATTGTGGGTTAGCATTTTGGCTGGAACTTAGGCTTGGTGGTTTCTTTTGCTGGTCATGCATGTGGGTCACTCATGTGGGTGTGGTCATTTGGACTATGGATGGATGGTCTAAGAGGGTGACTTCACTCACATGTTTGGTGGTCAGTGCTGGTTATTGCCTGGGCCTCTCTTTCCTGGCTCTCATTCTTTATAAGTATTCACATGGCAGTGGCTGCACTCAAAAGAGGAAGAACTGAAGCACTGGCCTTTTAAGACCCTAACTGAGAACTCCCACAGTGTCACTCACTTCTTTCATATTATCTTAGTCAAAGAAAGTCACAAAACCAGCTTAGATGAAGTAAAGAAGTAGACCCCACCTCCTTATGGGAGGAGCAGTAAAGTCACATTGCAAAGGGTAGTGTATACTGGAATGGGAGGAATTTGTGTCTATTCCCCCTGCACTCAGCATTTTATTTGGGAAATATTCAGTAATCTAGCTAAGTTGAAACAATTTCAAAGTGACTACCTGTATACCTATCACCTAGACTTTACTGATAACATTTTCCCTACTTCCTTTATCACATATTCATCTATTATCTCTCCATTAATCAATTCATCTTATTTTTTGATGCATTTCAAAGTAAATTGTAGATATTAATACTTTCCTCTAATTCAGTGGTTCTCAACCTTTCTAATGCCACGACCCTTTAACACAGTTGCTCATGTTGTGATGACCCCCAACCATAAAATTATTTTCTTTGCTACTTCATAACTGTAATTTTGCTACTGTTAATGAATCATAATGTAAATATCTGTGTTTTCCAATGGTCTTAGACTCTTCCATTCTCAACCTTATGACCCACAGGTTGAGAACCGCTAGCAGGGTTGCCTAAAACCATCAGAAAACATAAGATATTTACGTTACAATTCATAACAGTAGCAACATTACAGTTGTGATGTAGCAACAAAAATAATTTTATGGTTGGGGGGTCACCACAACATGAGGAACTGTAAAAGGGTCGTGGCATTAGAAAGGTTGAGAGACACTGTAATTACTTTGTGCATATTTAGCAAGAGTCAATATTTATGTTCAGTTTTTTTCTTTTGATAAAATATTTACATACAATGAAGTGTACAAATTTTAAGTGTACATTGTTCCTAGTTTGTGGTCTACCAAAAAGGGAAAAACTTGGAATAGCTTTCCAGTGAAATGCCTCAAATTCAGCTATCCGACCATTAGATCAATCACTATGACCCTCACTGACCATTAGGGGGCAGATGCTCTGATTGGTAAGTTAGCTTGCTGCTGGAGTCTGGCTGTTTGGGACTGGGCCAGTAGGGAGACAAGTCAGACACACCCTAGAGCCCTCTTATGGTCCCTCCCAAGCCACAATCCTGCACTTGTGGAGTCCTTCGGCCTGGCCTACACCCTCTCACAATCCAGGACCCTCAGGGGATGTCGGAGGCCGGTTTCCCTATCTCCCGCACGCCAGGCCGAGGAACCCCACCAGGCCTCGAGTAATTGTATAAAAGAATTGCAAAGGATGTCTTCCTTGGATACCTCTTTCTTCATGTTCTCATCACTAATACTTTTTTTTTTAATTTAGTATTACCTCAACACTTAGGATTTTCATTTGTATTAATTTGAATTTGCTTTGGGTGTTTTTCTATGTCCTTTCATTAAATATTTATTAAGTGTATACTGTAGACAAGCACTATGCTAGGAAAAGGGTGTAAACAGGAACTTTCTTGCTTTCTATGTCTTCAAATTAGGTATATCTCATATACCTAATTGAAGACATAGAAATAGGTAATAGGTGCCATTTATTTAGTGCTTATACTCAAGGCCACTAGTTGCAGTGTTTCATTTAATCCTTATAATTTAAGAAGTAGATATTTTTTTCATTTTAGAAGTTAGGAAACTAAAGCATGGAAAAGTTTTCATTTGTCCAAGGTCTTACCGCCTCATAAATCAAGGTGGTCTGACTCCAGAACCCACACTTAACACCTGTATTATTCTGATTAGAAGCATAAAATGTGCCTTCTGTTGCATAGTAGATAACTAACCCTTTAATTGGTCCTATTACTTCACAGGGTAATCTCATCTGAATTAAGTGTTTCTCTTAAACAGAGAAGTATAAATTAAAAACAAACAAACTGATCTTTGAGAAAGTTAAATAAGCTGCCTTCTGAATAAATATTTTAGCAATTTGAAAAGGAGAAATTTTAGTATTATAGCTTTTAATTAAAGGTAATCAGAATAGAAGTATGATAAAAACTGTGATAAACTCTAGTTTTTCATATGATATTTTGATACACTGTTAGTTTCTTAATTTTATTTACTAGGTATTGAGTACTTTTATTGCTAATTGGCTTTTGAGTAGTTTAACAAATAGCAAAAGATAGAAATTCTCTTTGATTTGCTATTTATATAACAGTAAAACCTGTTGGAACTCTTGCAAATAGTGACTAGCATTTAAGCCATTTCATGTCAAGAATTCTGGCAGAAGTTTATGGTAGCTATTGTGACAGCTGAAGTGAAAGCTTGGTGAGTTCATTTATTGTTGTAGCTTTCCTGGGAATGGGGCAGTCGTCTATGTCTAAATATCTTCCCTCACCTAATAGTGAGTGTATAAGAAATTTTAAGTGTTCTTTCACCATAACTTCATTTTATTATATTTGGTAATGTGTTTGTAAGTGGCTTTAAAACCTAACTAAATTATATGAGCTAGGTTAAAAATAAAATGTTTAAAAATTTTAATTGAGTATTATGTTTATTTTTGTGTATAGGTCTTGCTATTGGGAGCTACAAGAAAAAATAGATTAGAGGAAGGTTGGTGTGTTAAGTGGACATGGCTCAGATATCCAGCAGCAATGGATTTAAGCAATGTTCATCTTCACATCTGGACCCAGCAAGAACAAAAGATGTGGACAAAGAAGAAGCCTTACAGATGGAAGCAGAGGCTTTAGCAAAACTGCAGAAAGATAGACAAGTAACTGATAATCATCGAGGCTTTGAGTTGTCCAGCAACACCAGACAAAGAGCACAAGATTATAACAAACAGGATTATGACCTCATGGTGTTTCCTGAATCAGATACCCAAAAAAGAGCAGTTGATATTGATGTAGAAAAGTTAACTCAAGCTGAACTGGAGAAACTATTGCTAGATGACAGTTTTGAGACAGGGAAAACACCTGCAATGCCAGTTACTCCTGTTCTGAGCCCTTCGTTTTCAGCACAGCTGTATCTTAGACCTACTATTCAGAGAGGACAGTGGCCAACTGGTTTATCTGGGCCTTCCACTTATACTTTACCATCTATTTATCAGTCAACTTACAGTAGTAAACAGACTGCATTCCAAAATGGCTTTAATCCCAGAATGCCTACTTTTCCAACCACAGAACCTATATATTTAAGTCTTCCAGGACAGTCTCCATATTTTTCATATCCTTTGACATCGGCCACACAGTTTCATCCACAAGGAAGCTTACCTATCTGTCATCCAGTAGTCAGTCCTGACATGGCCAAGCTATTTGACAAAATAGCTAGTACATCAGCATTTTTAAAAAATGGAAAAGCAAGGACTGATTTGGAGATAACAAATTCAAAAGCTACAATAAGCAATCTACAGGTATCTCCAAAGTCTGAAGATATCAGTAAATTTGACTGGTTAGACTTGGATCCTCTAAGTAAGCCTAAGGTGGACAGTGTGGAGGTATTAGACTATGAAGAAGAGAAAAATGTCCCAGGTTTGCTAGCGGAGGATCCTTGGGATGCTGTTCTTCTTGAAGAGAGATCACTAGCAAGTTGTCACCTTGAAAGAAAGGTGAATGGAAAATCTCTTTCTGGGGCAATGGTAACAAGAAGCCAATCTTTAAATATTCGAACAACTCAGGGCCAAATATCTCAGGTACAGTTTTGTGTTTGTTTGTTTTTTAATTAACTTATCAAATTTAGTAGTAACACAGAATTCATATTTGTGTGCATAATTTATTAGGTAAAATATTTTTCATTTTGAATCTTTTTTTCTTGTTCTTAAGTGTGCTGTGACTCTTAAACTGTATGGTAAAGGATTAAATGTGTTTTGGTCAATTGAAAAATTGCTTGCTGTTACTGTTATTTTTTCAAGGATTATAAATTGAAAGAACTTCTGATCAAGAATCTGACTATCACTGATAGGCATTTAAAATGATTTTTATCTGTTTCTCCATGTCTTCTTTTATGTGTCCCTAGTTTCTCTTATCTCTTATTTTTCAAGGTAAAACAAGGAATTGTGGTTTTAACTCCATTATAGAAATTCTCATTTTATTTTTATATTGTTATATCGTTCCTCATTATATTGTTTTATCACTTTTAACCATGAATGAATGGCAAAAGGGAAAGAAGGAGGATAACCCCGGAGAGACAGGAGAAAAGCCATTTAAAGGACTCTCTTTAGTCACCTATATAGATAAAAAGGAGGAGTGTAAATATAGTCTGCTAGAGGCCCGGTGCATGACATTCATGTACAAGGCTGGGGTCGGGGGGGGGGGGGGGGGGTTGTTCCTCAGCCTGGCCTGTGCCCTCTTGCAGTCCAGGATTCCTTGGGGGATGTCTGCCAGGGGTCCTTAGTGCTGCCTTGGAGGCCAGGGAGATTCCCACCATCGCCCTTGCACTCGCCAGGCCAGCGGTAAGCCCGGCTTCTGGCTGAGCAGCACTCCGCTTCCCCTGTGAGAACACACTGACCACCATGGGGCAGCTCCTGCATTGAGCATCTGCTCCCTGGTGGTCAGTGCACATCATAGCAGCTGCTTAGTTGATTTGCATATTTTTCACCTTTTATTATGTAGGATTATATGATGTAGTTGTTGAATTCATATAGTCTTACTGTGTTGGAAAAATTATTAAAGGGTGGCTGGGCAGGATGTCTTCTTTCAGAAGAGAGACAGCACTTTTTAGACTTTTCCTTTCCAAATATAATATATCTAATTGCAGATTTGTATTTTGCTTTTATAATTACAATTTTTTTTTTAATTAAATTTTACAGAGAGGAAGGCGGGTGGGGGGGGAGAGAGAAAAAGAGAGAGAGAGAGAGGGCGGTGAGAGAAGAGAAGAGAAAGGAGAGAGGATAGAGGAGATAGGAGAGAAAGAGAGAAACATTGTTTAGATGCCTCCTGCATGTGCCCCAACCTGGGATCAAACCTACAACCTGGGTATGTGCCCTGCCAGGAATCAAACTCACTACCCTCTGGTGTATAAGGCTATGCTCTAACCAATTGAGCTACATAGCCAGGCCCATAGTATTCTAATAAAGATAAAAAAGTGATATACTAAAATTTTCAATACATTATCTATATTAAGCATGTTACTTTGTGCTACATTAAGTAGCAAGCATTGTGTTTCATTTTAATAGAGACAAGTGATAGCAGGTGCTGAAAGTTAAATATTTTATAGAAAACTTGAAAATTAAGCAAATCTTATTTGTTTATATATTTCTCTGTGAATTGAGAAATTCAATTTAGTAACTTAATTTTAAATTTTATTGTCCCTAAAAGTAAAATAAGGGAAGAAAATTCAGGGAGGCAGGTATTATAGGTAAATGTCAACAAAGGTATTTATAAAAGTAGCCAATAGGTTGTTAATGCACAATTACTGAAGGCCTTCAATCAGAAGTTTGGTGTGCACCTATTACAAATGCTGTAAAAGGAATTCTATATTTAAAGAAAAATTCTAAGCCCTTTTATTAACACAAGATTTTATCATTTTCTTTGTGTATAAGAAGATAAAGTTTGGTTTCATTTAGGCCAAAAAGGGGAAGGCAAATAGAACACTAGTAGTGTTGAAAGTTTGTGGTACAAATATTAGATGGAGCTTTTAATTTTTCAGACACTATTCATCTCTAATTAAAAGCTTTCCTCGGAGGTTTATATTTTTTGTTGGGAAATAAGATCGTGAAGTCTGTTCTTTTTAGTTACTTTATGTACTTAATTACTCTTTTCAAAGCTGTTAGAATTTTATGCTTTGTGGTGAAAACTCAGAAGGGTGGTTTTTTTCTTACTCAGCAAGTTTACTTCCTATTTCCTTTAAGTGTCTTGTTTTGTTAATAATAATCTAAATACTTTAGTTCAAATGTTTTGTGAATAAAACCAAGAAAAGGAATACTACTTAAAACTGTCTTATGGCAATTTAAATTTAAATCGGATTTTGAATTAATAGCTATTATATATTCAGCTATTTTGAGCACATTTCATAAATTTGAGTAATGAATTAAATTATTTTCATAGAAGTGGTTCTGCAAAGTTCTGATATTTACTCATTCTAAAAGTTAATTATATTAACATTATAAACTTATATTCCCATTGTCTATTATTAATTTTAAAGGTGAGGGAAACTTGAACAAAACATGATTTTCATTATCTAGTTGAATGTAGTACTCTCTTGGATAGGTTACTGCAGTCTTTTCTGTAATAATTAAAAAAAATTTTTCAATAAGGAAGTCCAGCTGGTGTGGCTCACTGATTGAATGTTGACAAATGAACCAAGAGGTCACAATTTGATTTCCAGGCAGGGCTCGATTCCCAGTGAGGGTGGCCAATTAATGATTCTCTTTATCATCGATTGTTTTTATCTCTCTCTCCCTCTCCTTTCCTCTCTGAAATAAATAAAAAATACATTTAAAAATTTAAAGGATAATAAAAGGATCTTTTTTTTTTTTTTAATTCCAATAAGGAAGTAACCAAGTTCTAAATAGTAACTGTTATATATATTTGCTTTCGGTATATTTATTAAAAACTTAGTATTGTGTTTATCTAATTTTGGGGTAATGTGGCATGAACCTTGGACTTTTGTAGGCATAAAGTTTTCCCATTCTTATAACTGCTTTACAATAATTCACAAAATGATTCACAAAATCATTTCACTGCTTTTAAATGATTCACAAAAACTTATCAGTACAGTATATACTGATAAGTTTTTGTGAATCATTTCTAATCTTCACTGCTTTCCTTAATCCCCTAATGAACCCTTTCTACCACTCTTCTAGTAAATGACCTCATTACCTTTTTTTTTTTTTTTTTTAAATGTTGAGGTCAAGGCTATTCTTTGTATGTACTTCCCTATCTCAGATCTGCCCTTCTTTCTGGATTGAGGAAAGAGATATTCCTTCCCTTTCCTATTTCCTCAAAGTATTTTCTACCCTTATTTTTTATAAGGGAATTTGTACTTACTGCCTTTCCAGTCTTTCTTTGTCCTCTATTGTTCCCATCATATTGCAGAAACTTACTTCTGGTAATATGACTATTAATTGCCAATCTACCGACCACATTCACTGTCCACCCCTTTTGTTTCATTTGCAACAATTGACTACATTCTTTTGAAACTTCTCTTCTGTTGCCCTAGTCATGCTTCCTACTTTTCATCCTATAATCTTTGATTCCTTTTCTTTGTCTAGCTTCTAAACTTAGGCATTTGCTTAAAGTTTTGTTCTTGGCTGTCTTTAATGTTTGTTACCTGTTTTCTCTGGTTCAGTGCTTTATTCTTTGGGCTCCAAGATACAGAATTTAAAAACTACTGGTTTAGACTTTCATAGTGATGTGACTTTGTGGGTCATTATGGTTGAGAGGCTGTGATGATTAAGTTTATGTGTCTTCTTGACTGTGCCATGGGGTGCTTAGGCATTTGGTCAGACATTTTCTGTGTCTCTCAGGATGTTTCTGGACGAGATTAGTATTTGAATCAGTAGATTGAATAAAGGCATATTGTCTCTTCTAATATCCTGGGACTTGTCCAATCAGTTGAAGGCCTGAATAAAACAAAAAGGCTGATCTGACTGCCCTTGAGGAACTCCTCCTATTTAACTGCCTTTGAGCTGGAACATGGATTTTTTTCCTGCCTTCAGATCCAAATTGAAACATTGGCTCTTAATCTTTGGCCTGACAGATTCAGACTAGAGCCTTTGACTCTCTTGGATATCCAGTTTGCCAACTGTGGTCCAGTCTTGTCACTCTCTATAATTCTATGATTTAATTTCATATAATAAATCAATCAATCTCCTAGTGTGTGAGAGAGAGATGTCCCAGCTTCATTTCCAGTGAGTGCAACCTTTAGCCTTCTAAAGACTGTATCCTTTTGATGGAACTTGGACCCAAAACCCCTTTGGCTGGGATATTGCCCTCTCAGTGCTCCTGATGAGGCTGACAGCGATTAGCAGACATAAATATCCCTGTAGGAAATTGCAGAAATTGGATGAATGATCCTCAAATCTAGATCTTTAGCTCTGGAATAGAATTTCTAGAATAAAATATTTCTAGATTATGATTAAAAAAATTTCTAAGCCTAATATATTTACTAAAGAACTCAGTATCTTCCACAACATACTTTTCTTTGTTCCATATATTGGATAATAGCATTAGCAGTTATTTTCTTATTGATTATCATTTGTCTCTTTCATTCATTGAAAAATATTTGAGGCTATACATTGTGAGGTTTACAAATATTTATCATTTGCAAACCTCATTCTTAAAGAATTTGAGTTAGAAGAGGGAGACAGTGCATATAAATTGCAGTACAAAATACAAAGCCTTGAGTGCCACATAAAAGTGTGCAAGATCAATGGAGAAAAGAGATACTTCGATGCTTAGGTAGGTTGTTTGAGTAGAGTGGAGAAGAATTGGGGCAAGAGCTAAGAGACTGTGTAAAATTGAAAAACAATTTTTTAGAAAGAGTAGAGAGCCCATCTGGTGTGGCTTGGTAGCTGAGCATCAAATCTATGAACCAGGAGGTCTGGTTTAATTCTCCGTCACGACCACATGCCTGGGTTGTAGGCTCAATTCCCCAGTAGAGGGCATGCAGGAGTCAGCCGATCAACCATTCTTTTTCATCATTGATGTTTCTGTCTTTCTGTCTCCCTTCCTCTCTGAAATCAATAAAAAA